AGTACCCTCTGCGTCATCATCTTGCCGAGGTGAACCAGGCCCAAAGCCAGAATGTGGATGCCATCATCGCTGGCACTTCCAGCGCCAATGATGATTTGAAAGCAGCAGCGGAGGCTTACAACATACCCAACCTCCATTGTTCAGGAGGAGCCATCTTCTGGAGTGCCGGGTCGGACATTTGATATGTTAAAAAACTCTTTTGTAACACCTTCTGGCAACGCCTTCTGAGGGCGATGGAGGGGGAGAGAGAGAGAGAGGGAGGGAGAGGGGTAGAGGGAGAGAGGGAGAGAGCGAAGGAGAGAGAGGGAGAGAGAGAGAGAGAGACCTCCTTGTTAAATTGAGCAGTTTTCAACAGCCCTGTCAGCAGCCCTGTTGCTTGATGATAAAGGTTATACAGTTATACTATATCCAATGTGGAAATTGAGGATGATCACATCAACCTGCTAAGCAGCTTTCAGATATCACAGGAAACCCAATGTCGTGGACTGCAACGACGCCTCATGCCTTTGGACTTCATTTGCCATTTCCATGGCATCTGGGACGGAGAGTCCCCGAGTCCCGTTTAAGGCCTATTTTGGCCCGGTCCCCAATCCTTTAAGGTGACACCGCTTGGTCCTCAAGCCCTAGGGAAAACAGCCGAATTCCAAGGGCGATAGGATTTATGCTAAATATTGGTCAGAATATGTATAGTAATGATCAGTGATCATTAGTGAGGATGAGTGTTGATTAGTAATGAGCAGTCATGATTAACATTGACTATAGGGGAATGATTAGTAGTAGTGATTAGTAATGATTGGTGATAGTTTGTCAGTCCTGCTTAGTAATGTAGTGCTTTTTGATGATTGGTGATTGGTGATGATTGGTTATGATAGGTTATGATTGGTGATGATTGGTGATGATTGATGATTGGCGATGATTGGTGATGATTGGTGATTGGTGATGATTGGTGATGTTTGGTGCTGGTTTGTGATGATGATGTTGATGATGATGATGGTGATGATATGAAAGTAATTAATCACATCACCTGCATCTCCGAAAACGCTTAAAATTGGATTCCATCTTGATTTTCTACCGTTCCATGTCCATCACCAGGAGGTGATTTACCATGGTTGCGCGTCATGCCCCCCCCCTTCGCCCGCGAAAAATCCGATTGCACCAAGGATCTACCAAAACAGATCATTAATCACACTGTACCCCTGGGCAACTCAAAGTCATTTGGCTATGGATCAAAACCCTCTACCATAATTTCGGTTGATGGAACTTCCTTTACCAGCTAGTTGTGAAAATCAGGCTGCCAGGCTAGCCATACCAAATCCAAAATTCTCCTTGCACCAGACCAGGTATTCACGTGGTCCCATCCGCCAAGCCGCCCTGCTCGAACTGAAGACCATCGTAGTCCTGCGGAGCTATGAGCATCCTGGATCTCAAATGGGGCAGATCGAGTCCCCACAAATAGGGGATGATCATGGATGATCTGGGTAAACCTTAGTGAATGGGATGCTGAAGTTTCTTCCATATAGGAAGGAGTAATGCCATATGCAACAGGTTCGTTTTGGAAACCTTTCTGGATGAATATGGAATACTACGGCATTTGGCTGATACCAAGAAGTGTTGATTCAACGCCCAACTCGCTGTGGCCGGTGGTTTCGAATCCATGAGTGCTGCGCCCGGAAAAGGATTCTTCGCTCCAGCATATGAGCAAGAATCACGACCGAAAACATGGAAAACATGGTGGTTTCAAATACTAGTGTATGGCTACTTGGCATGATGATACACAAGAACCAATCCTTCATGGGATACATAATGATACATGTCCCTCATATCCGTACATATACCTTCAAAGTACCCAGAAAAAATGTAAAAGTCCCAAAACAATATGGCTGTATTATATACCCCATTTTTCTAGGCACTTGGAGGGTGTAAGTTGGTGCACATGGAAAAGACTCCTCGCAACTTGATGGCCTCAGACGATCCCCCAAAAATTGTTGTTTTTGCTGTTTCAGCAGTTCGTTGCCAAGACCCGGCTATGGCAAATTCCTCATTTGGTTTGATGATGCTCTTTTTTCCCCTGTTAAATGCCCATTTGGATCATTTGGTTCGGTGGTTTCGCAGCCATGTTTGACTACTGGAGGGTATCATTGAATAGTTGGGATATGTTGGGATCATTGCATTCGGCTGTGACCCGTGTACTTCACCGCTTGAGATGGATTTTGTTCAATTTTGGTGGTTGTCCTTTGTTTTCGTTAGATGTTTCCTGGCTTTCCTCAATTTTAAAGTAGTTGTTCCTTACTGTTTCCTTAGTTGTCCTTCATGGCTCCACAATTTTCCTTAGGTGTTCCTACCATTTTGGTGACCGGTGGTGACCCCCAAAAGCCGACCTAAAAAGGTGGGGCTTCCCACGTATCTCTGCGGTGGCGGCCATGGAGTGGAGCCTGGAGAGTGCCATGACGGTCATCGGGCCGACCGTCGCCTGGTGCAACCAGTGGGCCAACATGACAACGACGCTCAGCTGATCCGATGATCTGCGAGATGTGGGGAGGAAATGGGGATGACCTTTTGAAGCCTGTTTCAAAAGCCACGTCAACGTCCATCATGGGAAAGACATACTGCTCATCACTTCTCCATAAATATCTATAAATTTGCATCTGGAAATGGGATTTGGGTTTGGACATGTGGAATTTACTCATAAAACTGCCATTTGAAAGGCCATCAGAAATGTGGAAAACATGTGCGAATCATGAAGTTGCTATGACATTCTACAGGTCTTATCCGAGCAAAAATTCGGATCACAGGAAAAGTAGATGAGGATTGACCATCACTTTTACATATAAAAATAATGTTATAAAATCAACACCCCACCCAAAGTCATCCTGCAGAAGGATAGTGCATCGACCAACAAATCTGGACAGCCTGTCATCATCCTAAGAATATTTGAATTTGATCATCAGAACAAAACAATCTTATTGCTTTTTCCGCGATCCGACCTGGTTACATGTTGATTAAAACCATACATATGAATATTATTGATGCTATATCCAGCATAAAACCTGCTGATATATTATATTATATTCTATTATAGTGGCGGACACACACACTTAGAACATAATTTGGAAAATGAAGCAGGATTGATGCCGCAAGCGAGTCTCACACTTAGAACATCCCCGAATCTCACACTTAGAACATCCAGTTTGATATTGAATCACACCGTGCCCTGCAGAAGCCTCACACCTAGAACACCCTGTAGACATAATCATTTATTTTGTATTGAAAGCCAGATGTTAGCTCGGAGATTTGACTGTTCTTCACAACTGGTTGAATGCCAGTGGTATCATACCCTGGGGAAGCTTCACACTTAGAACATCACAAAACACATGGAAAAAACATATGAGGTACGGTCAAAACTTTGGTATATTACTCATGGAAGAAGAGTTCTCTGGTGTCTGGAAAATGCACAAAACACTGTGTAGTGATAGGCCTCCCATAAGCGATATGTATAATTGTGCATAATGTCCACATCTGAAATTGTTTTGCACAAAGTTACGTGCATGCAAGAGGCTAAATTAGCCATACCCCTAGCGATACCTTAGCGATACCAATTTGTTCAAAAAGTAGCCCCAGACCAGGCCACCAATAGATCCGTTCCTTTTTCCTTTCAGTTTTTCCCTTCCTTTGCCGTTAATTACTCCTTTTCTTTTCTCTTCTTTCCTCTTCCCTTCCTTTTCTTTTCCTTTCCAGTTCTTGTCCATTCCTTTTCCTTCCCTCTTCATTTCCTTTCCTGTTCTCCTCTTCCTTTCTTTTTCTTTGCCTCTTCCCAATCCTTTTCCTTTCCTCTTCCCAATCCTTTTCCATTCCCCTTCCCAATCCTTTTCCTTTTCTCTTCCTTGCCTTTTTCCTTTCCTCTTCCTTTCCTTTTCTTTTCCTCTTCCCAATCATTTTCCTTTCCCTTTTCCTTCTCCTGTTCCCTCCCCCTTTCCTTTTCCTTTTCCTTTATTCTTCCGTCCCTCTTCCTTTCCTCTTTTTGCAAAACCATGGGTAGCGATAGGCCCCCTCCAAAAGCGACACCCAATCTTCGGGAACCAAGCGAAGACAATAAGTGTTGACAAGGCCTCATATATGCTAGCATTCTGCTGTGGAGACCCACACTTAGAACATCCCATATTGAATTGCGATTGAATATTGATTCAGCTACGCTTTAGTGTTGATGTGCATGGTGATTCCAAATGTGCTTCGAGTTAAGTTCACATCTCAAAAATTCCTGAATATAGTCAGCAGATTACCCGTTCCACATTGGATTCAAAGCTGGCAATTCTATATATATATATATGCTAGCATTCTGCTGTGGAGACCCCGCACTTAGAACATCCCATATTGAATTGCGATTGAATATTGATTCAGCTACGCTGTAGTGTTGATGTACATGGTGATTCCAAATGTGTTTCGAGCTAAGTTCACATCTCAAAGATTTCTGAATCAAATCATTGCTTTATATTATATGTATATATATATATATACACATCTTTATTATTTATATATGCTAGCGTTCTGCTGTGGGGACCCCACACTTAGAACATCCCATGCCGAACTGCGCTTGAATATTGATTCAGCTACGCTTTAGTCTTGATGTACATGGGGATTCCAAATGTGCTTCGAGCTAAGTTCACATCTCAAAGATTTCTGAATCAAATCTTTGTTTTTTTTTAATATATATATATATATTTATTATTTACATATGCTAGCGTTCTGCTGTCGGGACCCCACACTTAGAACATCCCATATTGAACTGCTCTTGAATATTGATTCAGCTACGCTTTAGTGTTGATGTACATGGGGGTTCCAAATGTGCTTCGAATTAAGTTCTCATCGCAAAAAAATCTGAATATAGTCAGCAGATTACCCGTTCCACATTGGATTCAAAGTTTTGCTGACAATTATATATATATATATGCTAGCATTCTGCTGTGGAGACCCCACACTTAGAACATCCCATATTGAACTGCTCTTGAATATTCATTCAGCTACACTTTAGTGTTGACGTACATGGGGTTTTCAAATGTGCTTCGAGCTAAGTTCACATCTCAATGATTTCTGAATGAAATCAGTGGATTACCCGTTCCACATCGGGTTCAAAATTCGTCTGTCAGTTAAAAATATATATATATACATTGCAGTCAGTAGGGGGGCATGAATTTTCACCGGCCCGCATAGCACCGCATAGCACCGCATAGCGTCGCATAGCGCCGCATAGCACCGCATAGCCCCGCATAGCACCGCATAGCCCCGCATACTAAGACTTCTAAATTTATTTATTTTCACATCAGGCACTTAATGAAAATATTAGTAGTTATCTTAACTTATCATAGAAGTCATTTTTACTTATTTTCACTTATTTTCACTTAATTTAGGTTAATTTTTCATTATTGTTTACTGTTTAAAATTGATAAAAGACGAAAGATGTTTCTGTCATAGGGTTTTGTAAAACATCTTTGAATTAAAAAATATAAGAATGTTGCGTTTTCTTTTTTTTGTTTGGATATTTTCATGGTTCCGATGCAAGATCTTCCTTGTCCTGTTAAATGTATCTTTTACAGGAAGTTTCCTTTTCAGGCATCATCTCTTTTCAGGAACTATCCTTTTCAGGAATTATTCTTTTCAGAATGAATCCTTTTCAGGAGTTATCCTTATCAGGAATTTTTCAATTCAGATTGAATCCTTTTTCAGGAATTTTCCTTTCCAGGAATTATCCTTTACAGGAAATGTCTTTTCGAAGACCTTTTTCCATTCAGATAATATTTGGTCACTTTTCCTTGTTTTGTCACAAGCTGGAAATTACTCACTTTCTTGCTTTCTATAGTTTTAAAACTTTATCTTTATTGAACATGTTATAAAAATGTTCATATTTTACTATTTTTCTAAATTTATATTTTTATATACATTTTGGTCATTGATTTTCATATTTTTCACATTTTCATAATTTTCTAAAAATTATCTGCATTTTCGGAATGTTCTATTTTTTTGGAACTTTCTAAATTTTCTAAATTTTATATATCTATGTATATATATATATATTTCTGAATATTGCGATTTTTTTCGAATTATCTAAATTTCCTAAATTCTCTGGATTTTCTGAAATTTTTGAATTTTCTGAATTTCAGAATTTTCATATTTTTTTTGTTTTTTTTTAATTGTCTGAATTTTCTGAATTTTCAAATTTTCTGAATTTTCTGAATTTTCTGAATTTTCTGAATTTTCTGAAATTTCTGAATTTTCTGAAATTTCTGAATTTTCTGAATTTTCTGAATTTTCTGAATTTTCTGAATTTCCTGAATTTTCTGAATTTTCTGAATTTTCTGAATTTTCTGGGTTTCTGAATTTTCTGAATTTAAGGTTTTGCAGCTGATAGGGGGTCTTTGGAAATGGATTCTAGGGTCCTTGGTGATTTAGTTCTACCTCTGATTGTGTGATATATGTTTTCCATTATTTATTTCTTTATCTATCTTATCTATCAAGGTAGGTGGCCTTGGTATATACTAGTGACAATGATCCCAAAGGAAAGATCGTCTTGGGCTAGTGTCCCTTGGATGTTTCAATATATTGTTACTTCTTATCCGCCATTCGGTAATCATGCCAAGATGGGGATTGATAATTAGTGTCTCCATCCATTTATCCTTCTATTCGTGGAAGTGCCAGTCAGAACAAACGATCACCATTCGATCGTAGTTCAAATAGTTTTTTTTGGGTTGGGTACTTTGATAAAATATAAATATATATATATTATATATATATATATCAATATATGCAGCCGATAGGGGGTTTTTGGAATTTGATTCTAGGGTCCTTGGTGATTTAGTTCTACCTCTGATTGTGTGATATATGTTTTCCATTATTTATTTCTTTATCTATCTTATCTATCAAGGTAGGTGGCCTTGGTATATACTAGTGAAAATGATCCCAAAGGAAAGATTGTCTTGGGTTAGTGTCCCTTGGATGTTTCAATATTATTAATTCTTATCCTTCTTTCGGTAGTCATGCCAAGATGGGGGTTGATAATTAGTGTCTCCATCCATTTACCCTTCTATTCATGGAAGTGCCAATCAGAACAAACGATCACCATTCGATCGTAGTTCAGATAGGTTTTTTTTGGGGTTGGGTACTTTGATAAAATATAAATATATTTTATATATATATATATCAATATATGCAGCAGATAGGGGGTCTTTGGAATTTGATTCTAGGGTCCTTGGTGATTTAATTCTACCTCTGATTGTGTGATATATGTTTTCCATTATTTATTTCTTTATCTATCTTATCTATCAAGGTAGGTGGCCTTGGTATATACTAGTGAAAATGATCCCAAAGGAAAGATCGTCTTGGGCTAGTGTCCCTTGGATGTTTCAATATTATTAATTCTTATCCTTCTTTCGGTAGTCATGCCAAGATGGGGGTTGATAATTAGTCTCTCCATCCATTTACCCTTCTATTTGTGGAAGTGCCAGTCAGGAG